GATGTACACTATCCAAAAATCCTTTGCTCCTACAAAGGGATCTGGAAAATATGAAATTGACAGAAAAACTTGGCTTTCTCTTCTTTCTTTTAAGCTAGCCTCCTGCAGACTGTTTTCACTCTTTGCTTGGAAACTCATTACACATCAAGTAAAAAAAAATAGAACAGTATTCTTCAAAAAGAACCAAGGTTTCACAATCAATCACCTCCAGATCATGCCAGAAAAGACTGTCCTGACCTTTTCCTGGCCCTAAAAGTCTGCCCCATTCTCTTGTCCCAATAAGTACAGTTGGGCCCGAATGAGCAGTCAGATTAAGAAAGTCAATCCAGATCTTGGTTTTTCTTTCCTCTCCCAGGAGTTTTTTGCTACTACATTAACAAGAATGCAGAAGGAAGGCATCAAGAATATGCAGGAGGGAACTGGAAGACAGACTCTGCTTCATGACAAACTTGAGCTAATTATGAAATTGCATCTAAAGAGATATCTAACCTTCATTCTACTTCTGTATCTCTACAAAAGATCAGGCTCCAAATTTGGAAGAGTTTGCCATTTTATTTCAAATGCAAGTTCACCAACGAAGACTTCTGAAGAAGAATTTCCATTTTCTTTTGTCATCAGTTATAATTAGGAGTAACAAAAGAAGCTATTTATCCTTTTTACTGCTTGGTATTCTTTCTTGAATCTACAATATGAGCAGTCACTTGGATGTATTACAAGCAAAACAATCTGCTTAAAAGCTAGACAAGAACCAGGAGAGCAGGAGTAGGACAGGATGAGGACATGAAGCTGATTTGGGAGGGTGGAAAAAAACAGTCATGAGAGAGACCAGACTGCTTATGTCCCAGTCTCATGGTGAGGGGGAAGGGTGACAGGACTGCCTGCTGCAAGTACGGCAACATTCAACAACTCAGGACCAGTGAGAAGAGTGGTAAAAAGCATATGAAGGCTATACACACAGACACACCCAATGCACACAATATTCAATCTAAAATATATGCCCAATACTTTATAGTTTTAGCAATATTATAGAATCATAGAATTGTTTGGGTTGGAAGGGACCTTTAAGATCATTTAGTTCCAATCTCTCTACTATTGGCAGGGTCACATTCCACTAGGCCAGGTTGCTCAAAACTTGCCAGAAATACCCAGAGAGCAGACCATCACAAAGCGTACAACCAACAGAAGTGCTCCTCACAGAATTTCAAATGTAATTTATTTGTAATACGGAGTGCTAAGGATTGGAATCCTTTTAATTGTGATCCAAACATGCTTTTGCAAACCAGATACATTTTACTGAAATATTTTGAAACAACAGTGAGAAAGCTCTTGTGTCAAAGAGCCAACATGAGGGAGTGGCTTTTTTCTCTAAACATTCTGATAAATAGCTGCCTGGAAGCTTTTTCACACACACAAAAAACTCTGACTGGTGAGTCCTCCGGTTATAACTAGATGACAAAAGTAACAGCCTTCTAAATACAGAATCTTCAGTAATTCTTTAACCTAGATGACAAATGTTTGTTATTAAGATTGAAGCTTTGAAAACTGAAGTCCTGCTGGCAACTATTTACAGCACTCTAGTTACACACATAACAAAAACCATTTGCCCTTTCCCCTTTTCTGCTGATTAGACTGCACTTCTGCAATGATAGTTCAGAAGTACTTTTCTAGTCGATATTTTCAATTCTAAAATACAGAAACTCCAAGAGAATGGACACCTCTGTATTCAGTAGTCTTAATTCTTCAGTGATCTGCTGTCCTTCATCTTTTAGTGCTTCTTTGTTCTCTAATGTCAAGCTATTAGAGGTCACTGCTATATCAGGCTGTAATTTATTAAGGCTTAATAAATGATGAATGCGTATTTTATGAAGTTATTAATGCATGGCTACATTGGATCAAGGGTCAGTAAGTTTATTTATAACAATGTTTTATAATGCTTTAAAACACTTTTTTTTTTTTAACTGATGTGACAAGTATCTGTCAAATAAACAACTCTTCAAGAGTACATGTAAACAGTGCCATAATACGAGGCAAGATCTTTTGCCTTCACTCTTTTGAGTTTTCATTGGAGTCCTTTTTACGAGACCCTTTTAGTGTGGCATTCTGCAGTTTTGGATTAAAAACTTGTACTACTTGGCTGTTTTAGAAACTTAGTTAAAATGCTACATGCTTGATAAACGCCGGCTTAAATGTTATTTATTTGTTTATTTATTTCAGCACAGCTTTTGATACCGTTTCTCACAGTATCCTTCTGGAGAAAATGTCCAGCACGTAGCTGGACAACAACATGAGGCGATGGAAGAGCTGGCTCTAATGGCTGGGGGGCTCACATCAGGCTGGTAGCCAGTCACCACTGAGGTCCCACAGGGTTCTATTTTAGGAGCAGCTCTCTTCAATGTTTTCCTAAATGACCTAGATGCAGGACTCAAACACATAATAAGTAACTTACAAATGATACTAAGTTAAGAGGAACTGTTGACTCTCCAGAGGGTGGGGAGGCTTTACAGAGATCTTGACAAACTAGAGAGCGAAGCAATCATCAACCATGAGAAGTTCAACAAGAGCAAGTGCCAGATTCTGCAGCTGGGAAGGGACAATCCTGAATATACATACAGACTAGGGGATGAGAGGCTGGAGAGCAGCACTGCTGAAAGGAATCGGAGGGTTCTGACTGATGGCAAGTTGAATCTGAGCCAGCAGTGTGCCCTGGCAGCCCAAAGGGCCAACTGTGTGCCGAGGGAACAGCATGGAGCTGTCAGGGGAGGGCAGCTGGGGGTGAGGGACAGGAGCTGCACCACAGGGCGCTGGGCATGGAACAGCCTGCCCAGGGCTGTGGGCACGGCACCGAGTGCCGGAGTGCAAGGAGCGTTTGGTCATTGTTCTCAGACATAGGGATTGGATTTGGGTAGTGCTGAGTGGGGTCAGGAATTGGACTCCATGATTCCTTCCAACTCAGGATATTCCAGGATTCTGTGATAATTTATATTGGCTTCCATGCCATCAGATATTACACCAATACAGCTGGGTAACAGAGCAATCCTAAGCATTACTGCCACTTACTGAAATCTTTAATGGCTCAACAGCAAAACGTTGAAAGGAAAGGATCTTTAGAAGTAAGTCTGGATGAATGTCTTTGCTAACACTGTGCTGGATAACCCATTTTTACTGATTTAGCACTTGTATAATAAGAAAAGTACAGAATACATAGATGAAGCATCATGTCACTCAACTGCAGCAAACTGGTTTAAATGCTACTGTACACCCAACTATGTCAGGAAGAATGCAAATAATGAGTTGAGAATAAGAAGCTATGCTGCAAGCACAGATGGCCAAAAGTAACTGCGTCCTAATGCAGAATGCAGATGCCATTTCCTGGCAAGCTCCTCTCAATTCTTTCAAATTGACTTTGCTTCACCTATGTCTTCTTAGAATGACAAAACATATTCATGTATGTATAGTGCGTATAAATAGAAGGAACACTTTTTTCTTGAAGCTTGCATTTGCTGAAAGGTCTCTGTTTGACCATCAAGTGGATATAGATGAGTCTTAGGACTATTCAGGCAGAAGACAACTTACATAGCTAACTTAGATGTTTAGCTCCATATACTGTTGTACATTTCAGCATCCCTGTTCCATTGCATATTAGTTTAATCCCTCAAATCCAGAACATCCTCACTGCAGAAATTCAGATGCAACCATAGAATTCTGTGCTATAATGCTTTTGGCCTTATTCTAGTGACTTGACTACTACCATGGTGCAATTTGAAAGGGAAGAGACCAACTCCCAGGGATTTAAATTGTCCTGTTCTTGTTTCAAGTTAATGTAAGACACTAAAAAGCAGCACTGGATTTACAGACCTCTCATACTATTATAAATCACTTAACCAATCCACAGACACTAGGATAGGGAAATACGAACAAGGAATTACTGGAGAAAAGGAGAATTGAAGTGGTGCATAAAGTGTTGAAGAATCTATCATATAAACAGCATATTTGGCTTGGCATGCACCCACTAAATACCTGACCAGCTATCAGAAAGACCCTTGATTAGCTCTAGCTAGTTTATCCACAGTTTCTACCACCACAGCACATTTGGTCTTAAAGAGTCTGACCTGGACATGTGCTCAACTAGGAATAAGATCCTTTCATATGTGAAGAATATATAGCAGAAGAAAACCTGAACCATTAAGGTATAATGACATTCTGCAACTATGTCAAGACATTTCTCAAGAAAACATTAGCTGTCAGGCATCGGTGCTTAAAACTTGATATTTAGCTTAAATCACAAGCTGCAGGGTAACTAAATGATCAGTTTTTACCACTTTTCATACAAAAAATCCACTGTTCATCTGCATGTGAAGGATAACTTAACTGTGTGGCCTTGAACTTACTCTAATGCTAGCAGTTTCCACTTTGACCACGGTTATGTTATTGCCAGTATTTACTGCAGTAGTACCTTCTGAAAACTAGGTAGCAAAACAGTCTTAAGTAGCAGCTCCAGGAAAAAAACACCACCAAAACAACACTAAACAACACACCTACAAGACTACAAATATAATATTTTTTGAAAGAATCAGTTGAGAAAATGACTGTCAACCTTCACTGTCAGATTATGGAACAGCATCACAGAAGTGTCATGCACATCAATGCAACACTTTCTCATTTCTAAGTGCCTTTTACACACATCAAACGTTACAGAATGACAGGATTTAGATATATTGCACTACAAACACACACACCATTGTTTTTGTTGTTTTTTTTTTTTTAAAAAACACTATAGGCAGCCTCAAAAAAAAAAAAAAAAAAAAAAAAAAGACTACCATATAATGCAATACACTGCTTCAATATCTTCTTTACCCTTACCTATATTAAGAGTTATTGGGTCTCCAGCATAGTTAAAGGCACCTAGTTTCGACTGAAAGCTACGAAGGCAATCACACTTAACTCCCAGAATTTCTTAGTTTCAGCCCACATGTTGTTATTATCCAATCATATAGACTTACCTTAGTCCATGGATGTGCCTTAATCTGAGGGAATTTAAATTCAGTATAGTTTGGATTCATTTCTCTAATTTGCTCCCTTGTAGGCGTTCCCAGAACCTAGAAAGGAAAGGGGAAAAAAAAAAAGCCACTGTTTACATATGCTTCACATTCACATGGAATCTATCACACAGCGAGAAAACTGAAGTCAATCTGTATAATCAGTAAGTGAACACAGAGAACAAAACTTCCAGTTTCAGTTGGAAGGGATCTCCCCTCCTGAGGCCATCTGGTCCAAATCCACTGCTCAAGCACAGATATAGGGAAGGCTGACCAGGACTGCATTCTGCTGGCTTTTGGGTATCTCCACACATGTGGACTCTACAGCCTACGCTCAGATGGAACTGCATGTGTTTTAATTTGTGCCTCTTGACTCTTGTCCTCTTAGTGAGCACCACTGAGAAGAGCCTGTATTTATGCACGTGGATAAAGTCCTCCTTGAAACTTTCTCAGCTGAAAGAGCTGAGCAGTCTCAGCTCTCACAACCTCTCCTCACGTGGCAGATGCTCCAGTCCCTCAGTCATCTCTGTCACTCCTCACGCAGCTTCAGTAGTCTCCTGGTGGCAGAATTTATGCTCCAAGCCAAGCATCAAAAATTTAATTATTTTCTAAAATTTTTCCACTAAATTCAAGAATCCTTCTCAAACTTCGTGATATTTCAATGGGGAATAGAGTCTATTGCAATTTTAATGTTATAAAACAGTGTTGCTGATTGTAGCATACAGGTCAGATCCATAATCAGCTATAACACAGACTGCATTTTAAGTCATGAACAACAGCCCTCTAACAAGCTTACAACCAAATTGCTCCTGCCATACACTGCTGTGATGTTATGCACTGTCCCCACGAGGAAACAACCTAAAATACTGTCAGTATTAGCTAGTAAGGCAGAGTGCTAAAGAAGTATTTCATCATATATTCTCCTACCTGTGGAGATTTTTTGTTCAGTTACCGAGTGGAAATGACACAAACAAACTGAAGAGTCAGGCAAAGGGGATAAGACCAAGTGTCACTACTCAGTTCAACAAAAAACCCCAGCAGTTACTATGGAAAGAGCCTGCTACCTCTGTGATTTAAAACATGGCTGTAGGAAACAAAATATCTATATGCTTTAAATTAAGAGCAAAAGGAAATAAACCCCCAGAAATTTTTCAAGCCATCGCTTCCTGGGTAATAGAATCAATTGGCAAGTTATACGAAAGAAATGACCACAGAACACCCACCTCTCAATTGCTAACTGAGACATAAACCCCACCTCCTCTACAATCCAAGAGTTATGCTCACATCAGACTACTTTTCTGTGCATGCCTATGTTGGTAGCAAAGAGTCCATTTACAGGATCCCGTATGTTTTACTAAACTTTGAAGGAAAATAAGAGCAGCCAGAAATGCTCACTTCCCCTGGTTCCAGGCTCTGAGATCGCTGCTCTCAAAGTGCCTGTTCAAAAAATTGATGGAATTTCAGACCTGCAAACAGTATTTCTATTTCAACGCAGTGTAAAAACCACTTGCAAAAACATGGAAGTTCCCTGGATTATTTCTCTTCCTGTCAAATTATGGATAACTTGCATTGCTGTCCCACCACTTCTCATGGCTCACTGCATTTTAAGGCCCCCCTTGCATAGAGAGAGCTTGTTTAAAGCCAAGCTTACCTCCCGTCATCTCCTCCCCCTTTTAGACAAAAAGCCCACCATCTTTAATAGCTTTCCAGAGAGGAGGCAAAGACTAAATTTTTCGTATCACTTAAATTCAGGAATCTGGCTCGGTTCCCAAGGCTGCACAGAATGAGAAATGTACACAGTGCTTGTATCCTTACCTAAAGAATGCTTATAGGATGGGAGAGATTTCAGATCTGATAGGCAAAGATAGCTTCATGAGAGGACCCATGGACAACACCCAGCCACGCATTTCACAAAAACCCACAGACCTAACCACAAATGATGCGAGAACAACTCCTGAGCTGAAGCTTTGGTGACAAGGATAGTGAAGCATCTAATCAACACTGCCTAAGGTGTCAAGAAAAGGAGGTTTTGAAGAGGGATAATACTAGATGAAGGAAGGGTAAGCTGCACCTTTCGGTTATGTAGCCTCAGAGACACAAGAAGACCCATACAGAAGGATATCTGACTTACATCAACCACTCAGTGGTGGTGGTGTCTGTATGCTTTCACTTCAGACTAAGAGTAGGTAGACTAAGGCAAAAAAAAAAAAAAAAAAAAAAAAAAAAAAAAAAAAAAAAAAAAACAAAACAAAAAAAAAAAAAAACAAGAGGAGGAAGAAAGTACACAGGAAGAAAAATGGTAGCTTTTAAGATTGTCATATTCAAATCACAATCCAGGGGGAAAAAAAAAAAGTGGGATGAATGACGTGATAAGCTATAAAAATGTTTTGGTACTTGCAATGCCTGGAAGAGGTCCTGTAGCAAGGGATGGAAATAACCCCACCCTGTCCTCCAGGGCACTCTGCTGCACCATTTTTAAACCATAACTTACTGACTTCTGCAGAGTTTTAGGTACATTAGCAATAGCTTTGAGTAACCTTGTTGAGTAGCAGCAATCGCTTATGCTATCACAAAAGCTGGGCAAACATTTTCTCTTTTAAAAAGAGAAGTCATTCATATGACAGCTATTTCTGTCGGAATGCAGAGGAGAAGAATAAATTACTTTGCACATTTTTGGCAGAATTACACTGTAAAACAACCGTTCTTGCTATACCAGCTCTGAAAATACTATGAAGCAGATGTTACTTGCTGACAGGTTTCACAGAATCACAGAATACTGAGACTGGCAGGGACTTCTGGAGGTCAAATGGCCCAAGCCTCTGCTCAAGCAGGTCAGCAAGAGTCAGGACTGTGTCCAGGCAGCTTCTTAAATCTCCAGGGACTCCACAACCTCTCCAGGAAACATGCTCCAATATTTAATCACCTTCATAATTAAAACTGTTTTCTTTTGTTCAGATTTGAGTTTAATGTGTTCCAGTCGATGTCCACTGCCTCTTGTTCTGGCACTGAGCACCCAAAAAGAACCTGGCTGTTCTGTATCTTTCCTTCAGGTATTTCTATACATGGATGAGATTCCCCAAATCTTGCATAGGTTAGACAGCTTTTAAGAAATACCAAGTCTGATACTTAATTATTCCAGTCTATGCACATCAACATATACTATCCTACTTCTGCTTCTTGGGGACAGCCTTATGAAAGGTAGTATTTTCAAGTTAAAAAAAAAAAAAAAAGAAAAAAACATTTAATTAAATGACAACAAACAAACTGTGTCAAGATGAAGACAAAACATTTGAACGAAAGGGGCCTGTAAGAAAAGATCTTGCAGATGAAGACAACAATAGGCTAAAGATCAACTGGCTTTGCTCTTCATCCCCAGAAGTCATCATCGTCCCTTAAATAAAAACACGTAACACATGCTATCTAAGAAGAGTAACCAAGGAATTCATATTTGAATTCTCTCAGGACAAAAAAACCTAATGTGGGAGGTTTTTCAAAGATTTTCTGGAAAGTTCTTCCCTGATGTTCACCTGCAACAGATGAAACTTCCTAATGACTTTTTCTTCAACTAACAGCATATGTCTTAAGCAATTAAAGAAAACCTACAGGCTCCAGATAATCACATCTCTAAAAGTACCAGGAATTTTTTGTATCTAGAGTAAGTCCTTAATTTGATCACAAATAGCACAAAGATCTTCATTTACTTGCAATTGAATTTTCACAGAAGGAGCTAGACTCCAGAACTGAAGACAGCTGCTGTCCACACCTGGTTTCACTGTGCAGGGCTATGAGACCAAAAGCATGCTGTTTCAACATAGGAGGAAGTGGAAACTGCAAGGTTTGCATGAACGCCTGTAGAATAAAGGTCCTTTCTGACAGCCACTGTTACTAACTGCTAATTATTTGCCAAAATACCAAAATCAGCTAAAAGCAGAGTTCAGAAACTCTGGGTGGGGAGGACTGAAGTGAACTTGAGAGGGAAGAAGACTTATTTAATTCAGGGTTTTCTAGAAACCACACAGTGGTATAGTGCCTTCCCCATGAAAACCATGCTATCTTAGGAGGAAATATCTACCAGGTGTGTATGGTTTACCAGATGACATAATCATTGCTTTTGCAAAAATGTCTGCACCTCTTCTGTAAGTTGTTAAGACGTGTGCCAATTAATTACTTAAATTCATAGTGCTGGCATCTCAAGCAGTAAGGATGGGTTGGTTTTGAAATAATGCCTCTATGGTAGGGAAAAAAAAGCCAACAAAAAACTTCCACATTTTTATATGCACTTTCTTTCAAAATCATGGTCCTGTCAAACAAAAACAAGCGCCAACTAAATATAGAGTTTTCTTCTACTTAAAAAACTCAAGAACAGCTACACAACAGGAATAGGAAGAAATCCATTGTCACTACTGACGTGAATATAATTATTCATCATCTTTTTATACTGCCTGCCAGCAAGCACTGGAAGCAAGAAACAACATGAGGTAGATGAACAGGCAAGTTGTGGTGTGTGCTAGAGGTGAAACGCCACAGGACTTCCTTATGGGCACAAGGGAAGGACCCAGATGATACCCTGCAGCAGGGACACACAGGTGTTAGGCACAATGATGGGTGCCTGGGCAGCACTCTCTCATGCATGGCCACAGTCGATAACAAGCTGTCTTCTCTCTGCTTGTCTCTTCTCCCGGAAAAGACAGCTCCACTCTCCACATTAACTGCTGTGACTGAATTTATTTCATTGCAAAAACTGAGCCCAAAATAGCAGCCTGACATTTGAGTGTGAGCCATATATTGTAATTGCAGTCTATACTTAGTGTTCAGTTTGGTAAAACTGTCACAGATCAGAAAGTTACACATGGATAGGATTCCTGATACTATCAAGTTTGGGTTTTAATACATTTCTTTCCCTTTGCCTCATTCCCAACCCAGAGAACCATGGGAAGATGATTTCATTTTTTCTTCAGTGCAAGGAATAAACACACAATCCAGAAGGAACAACAACAACAAAAAAACACACCAGAAAACCCCTAACTGTTTGTTACGGTTATCAGAAGTTGGTCATTGCACACCACGCTTGAAACAACAGTGCAGACAGGGAAAAAATATTTATGGTAAAGTCAATGAAAAGCAGATTGGCGGATGCTGTCCTCCCAGCACGCCAGGATGGCTCATGTGAGTACTGCCATTTCATTCCTCTGACAAAGATTTATTTCCTGTTTTGAGCAGAGCAGAGAGAAGCAGCTAAATAAAATCCCTCAAAAGATAAATACGCACTTAAGTATGTATCTTAGAAAGAAAACTATAATGCTTCAGAAATTTCCTTTTTGCATGGGGAGTACTGCCTAATCCCTTTCTGTGGGAGCTGCGGTTGAAGATAAGTCAGCCTGGGAAAACACTCCAGCCAGTTTTCAGTGCTCTCCAGAGTGTGGGAGGAGCAGGATTTACCTCTCCAAGCTTCCACAGCAGGCATAGCCATCCTGCAGGCACCACAGTTACATTCCTAGCTGTGAGCACAAGGAGAGGGAGTCGCACAGGAGCCTACATTGATTGCGCCCTCTAAAAATTCCCTCTTGCAGGCTGAGAGCTCTTCTCTGAGCTGTATTCAGCAATATCCTGCTTGTATAATGGATTCTAGTCAGGTGCAAACTGCAACCCTCCTGAGCTGCTGACAAGAGCAGCTGCACCTTTCCCACGGCAAAGGGACCCACACCACTGCTCTCTCAGGTGCAGTACTCAGATGTAATTTCTCTACCATGACCACTGCTGTGCCTGCAGTGCCACTGTGTTTGTGTCAGGAACTAGCACATTTCCAAAGAAGCTGTCACTCAAAATTAAAATTAATGTATCTGGTTACCTACTTGAGATATTTCCAGCAACAGGATAACCTAACATTTGGAATAGTCTGCAAGGACTAAAAATAATGACAAGTCACCATCCAAGACAAAACCTTGGAAAAAGCACATCATATAATTTCTCTCCAGAAACAATGTAAGAATTCAAGAAGAATGTAATTAGATAATTATTTCTTCAGATTTTTTTTTTCCAGCTCCGAGGCAGTATTTTGACGCACTGAGCATCATTTTCTCAAAGGTAAGTTGTTGAAGATCTCTCTCCTAGACAGAAAGACCAAAGAAATACAAAAGAAAGAAGGAAAGAAGGAAGTACTAATACAGAAAGACTGAAGAAATACAAACAAGAGAAAAAGAAACTAAAAATAAAGGTTCCAACCCTAAGTTCCAACTCCCTGCCATTGGCAGGATTGCCATCCACCAGATCAGGTTGCCCATCCACCCTGGTCTTGAATACCTGCGAGGATGGGGCACCCGTAGCTTCCCTAGGCAATGAGCTCCGAGTAAGGACTTTCTTCCTAGCGGCTAATACAAACCTACCCTCTTGCCAATTAAAACCATTCCCCCTGCCTATCACTGTGCACCCTGACAAAGCGCTCGTCCCAGCTTCCCTGCAGGCCCCCTTCAGATACTGAAAGGCCTCGTAAGTCCTCCTCACAGCTGTCTCCAGGCTGAACAATGCCAGCTCCCTCTGCCTGCCCTCACAAAAGAGGTTCTCCAGCCCTTTGAGCATCCTCAAGGCCTCCTCTGGACCTGCTCCAACAGGTTCACGCCCTTCTCATTTTGGAGTATCTGGACGCAATGTTCAACATGGGGTCTCATGAGAGATTCCCCACAATTGGTAACCCCATACGTTCTGCTTCTTTTACAGCCAGCTGGCACTAAGATAAGTCCATGTTACAATAAAAGTTTTAAATAGTAATACTTTAAGGGCTGCAAATGGAAGAGGTGTATGCCAAATATATTAAAAAAAAAAAAAAAAAAAAAACCACAATATTAAATGAATCCTATTCTAAACAAAGTCTTCAATAGCCTAATGTCTCACACTTTGGAGGCTGCACTATCCCCAGCTGCAATTCCCTCTGTATTCTCACGTCAGCCTTTTGCCAATGCTTTTATGAATATATATAGCTAACACAAAATGCACAACACGTCATATGCAGAAGTACTGAAAAACAGTACAGTTCTGCAGTTTACATTAATTTTTCCTTCCATTGTGGCCTTGAGAATCTGTGTTGTCTACATAACAAGTATTTGTCAGAAAATTATTCGTGGCACCTACCCAATTCAAGTCCACATTTTCCATTGTATTTTAAGGACTTAGTGAACACATTTTAATAACTACTACTCTAAGATTTAGTGTTTGTTCTTTCAGACTTTGCTAAAACATTCTCAGTACTGTAGCCTTTTAAATGAACAGACTAGGCTCACTATAAAATTGAGCTATTCCTACATTTAAGCTGTTTTACTTAATTTTTGTATGCAGAGGGCTACATGTATAACAGGACAAGAAAAAAAACCAAAACAAACACAGGTTTGGATGATCATTCAGAATTACTATTTCTTTGTTCAAAGAAATTATTCAGAAATTTGTCTCTGCTGAGGTGAACATCATCACGCCCAGCTATAACTTACTGATTTTTCAAGCCTTTATACAGTACAATCCTTTGGCTGTTATTAGACATAACATGAGTTTGCCAGCACTATATATTCAGTTATAAATTGAACTCGATCATCTCTGAGGGTCCCTTCCAACTCTGGGTATTTTATGGTTCTGTGAATTGGTCAATAAGAATTACCATAAATCATGGTAGCAACATTTTAAAAAGCTGTAGCTGGTGGTATGCAGGCCATCAACAGTTTTTTATTCCTTTGCTTCAATACACTGTCAGACAAGCATAAACGAAGCCAAATTATCACAACCACAGCACATATACGCTACAAAACTATTGGTTTATAGTTGCTTACCCTCAGAATTGCAGAACTGAAAATGCCTAAGTAACAAAAGCAGCTTCTAAAAAACTTTGAACAAAATGACGATCTCTGCCTGGCAAGCACCTCAATAATAAAGGGGCATCTTTTTCCTTTATTATTTTACTTTCATATTGTGAAAGCTGAAGCAATTGCAGAGCACTGTGGTTTTGCTGATAAGGCCTCTCTACTCTCAGTTTCCTGACTGAATTACGGAAGGACTTACAGGGCTTTCATCGTGATATAAAAAGTAGTTTCTACAAAAACTCATTTAGGTGTAGTTTCTTGGGATTGCAGGTATTAATCAAGAATTGAAAACAGGGTTTTTTCTGCAAATATCTGAAGGCAAGTAGCACAGTTTATTGCACAAATTCCATGGGAACTCTAGCAACCTGACATGTTTACAGACTGTTTTAAATCTCACAAAAGAGGTGCAATGGAAAGAACTGCAATGGAAAGAACTGCACCGCTCCAAGACACTTTTCAAAAGGAGAAAATTCTCACTCATGGCATCATCAGCTCTACTTGGGACAGCAGTTCTAGTTTTCCAATGGTGTTTCCCATGTAAACTGACACTATGTGAACCTGCTGAGCTTGAGATACACTGGGCAGAAAGACAACGTTAAAAAAGCAAGGAAGTCATAGGAGAAGGAGATGCAAGAGGCCTCTGGAGGAAAGAAGCGGGCTGAAGGACTTCCAGCAGGACAGACACAAAACCACTGTAGCAGAAGCTAAATTTACACAGCCAAAGGCTGGAGGAGACATGGTGAGAGCCTGGAAAGGTCGGGGCACACACGAGTGGGACTGTACTGCCAGCCACAGAAACCCTGAGCCTCCCCAGCTAATGTTCCTCATACAGAAGGATGACAGCTTGGTACTGGCCGGTGTCAGACACTGTGATAGAAGAGGTACAAAGACAGCAATAATACACAAAAAATGGCATGCATGCACAACATCTCCTCTGAAATGTTGCCATCTTACTAAGAGCACAGTACAGATGCATCTAGAGGAATTACACACTCATTGGAAACCTTGCCTCTTTCATTGCAGAAGTTGAACAAGGAGGGAGTTAAACTAGGGAAAGAATCATTTTGAAGGTAACAAAGCTGAAACTGGACAGATTCTGGGAAAACAGGTCCCAACTATGTAAGCTATGAATTACTGTTCCATCCTTCTAATTTGAGAATCAAAGAATATTAACAGCTTACCAAATGAAATCAATCAAGATGTGTTTAAGCATAAGCAATACGCAATTGTCATGCATTTAGAAACATGAGGTCTTCCTCGCTTCAAAAATAAGACTTTTCAGCTGGAAAGTATTTTTGCTCTACATTTAATTAGGTCCTGCTCTTCTGTCTGCAAAAAGGAGTACCCATTTTCACCTCTCAGCTCAAAGAGCTGGCAGGAAGGAGGAAGAAAAGAACGCTACATATGTGAAGAACCTGGCACAAAGACACTCAACAATACTGTTTTCAAAGCTAAGTACTAACTGCATGCAACAAAGAAAAGAGGTAGATTCTTAAAGAATTAGAATCATATATTAATAAATATTGGCTCAGTATGTAAGCAGCATTTCCAACCACGCTGAAAGTGCAAACCTGTAAGAGGAAAAAGAGCTGTATAATTAAAAGATAGAGCCATCTTGCCTGATTTCAAGATGGGCAAACAAAGAGTATCAAGTTCTCAGAAATGCATGAATAATTTTTTCAATCAAAGTTTACAGGCAAAACTTTGTACAATAGTATCAGCATGTAAGTTGCCAAGCTTTAACAATGATCGTTTTCATTTTAATTCCCATGGAATTGAAAAAAAAACTTAAAATTCCATACCTTGATTATTTCCACCAACTGATCCACACCACTGTCACCTGGGAAGATTGGTTGTCCTAGTAACAGTTCAGCCAATACACAGCCCGCTGACCACACATCTAAAAGGGGAAAAAAGCAGAGGGTAGGAAAGGTTTAAGTAAAATGTTTGTATTTGTTCATTTATATTAAAAAAATAAGTAGTTTTACTCTACTACTTGCCACGTCTCATACTATATCATAACAAAAAAATATACATATTCCTCTAATATACATCTAGCAAACAATTATGTGTGGCACACAGCAATAGGGGGCACGTATTGTGTAAGTCAAACCACAAGACAATGGGAACTGGAAAATAATGTTAACATCATCGTATATTTACATTAAAACCTAACCACATAGGAAGAAGAAACAAATATTTGCCATGTGAAAATTAAGAACTTCCCAGCCTTATGCTCTTCTTTAATAATGTTCTTGGTGAACTATGCATAGGTACCATCATAACAGCTGATGATTTTGCAGTTCCTGAATGTTGAATAGACTATTTTTTCATCCCATGTATTAAAAGTATATATACATATTAACAGATAAGCCAATACTGCAAATATTACTAGTATCCGGCAGAATCTAATTATTATGGGACCTAGGAGATAGCCTCTCATTCACATCAAGATCTAATCTTCCTCCCACTTCCATTTTCAAACTTCACAGGACAACAGCACTGCAGGGCCTGGGTCAACAACATCTGCCAATTCATTTTCATTCATATACTAAAAACCACATCTAGCTACAATCAGCTATTCCCTTATGTGAAGACAATCTTCATCTATTATAGGGACATCTTATATACAAATGAGGCAGTTCAGTGCAACAACAGTAAGAGTGCATGCAGGAATTCAAGGTTGGTAATGCAATCATATGGAAGTGGGAATAACCCTTTCCTTCCTATATCACAGAAAGAGGGTTAATATTGAAGTATTTTCCCCTTCTCTCAGGAAAAATACAGTTTTATCCAAACATACAGTAGGCAAAAAACACTGCTGATTACTGCAGCTGTTAAAATAATTCCAACATCAAATGGATGCATTTTTTCATAATGCCATAGTCCAGATATTGCAACAGTACTCATCCCAAAACGTAGCAACTTAAAACGCAGATGGTACTGGAAGTAACCCATGTTTAAATATTGAATTTCAACAAGCAGTAATAACAGAATCACAAAATCATTAAGGTTGGAAAAGACCTCTAAGATTATCTAGTCCAACCATCCACCCATCACCAACACCGCCCACTAAACTATGTCCCTGAGTACTACATCTACCCTTTGCTTAAAGCACCTCCAGAGACAGTGACTCCATCACTTCCCGGGACCACCTGTTCTAACGCCTCTTTCTTTTCTTTATGGGAAGAAATGTTTCCAATATCCAATCTGAATCTTCCCTGCTGTAACTTGAGGCCATTCTCTCTTGTCCTGTCAGCAGTTTCCTGGAAGAAAAAGCCAATCCCCGCCTTGTCACAACTTCCTTTCAGGGCACTGTAGAGTGGTAAGTTCTCCCCCAAGTCTTCTCCTCTCCAGACTGAGCAACCCCCATCCCCTCAGCCAATTCCTCACAAGATGTGTGTCCCAGCCTCCACAGTTTCTGGATATGCTCCAGGGCCTCAATGTCTTTCTTACACTGCAAGGCCCATAACTGAATGCAGTACCTGAGGTGCGGCCTCACCAGAGCTGAGTACAGGAGGATGATCACCTCCCCCTCCTTCTGGCCCTACTATTCCCAACACAAGCCAGGATGTCCTTGACCTTCTCAGTCACCGGGGCACGCTGCTGGCTCACGTCCAGTTGAGCGTCAAGCAACACCCTCCAGATCCTTTTCTTCCACACAGCTTTCCAGCACTCTGCCCCAACCCTGTAGTGTTGCCCAATGTTGTTGTGATCAAAGTGCAGGACGCAACGACTGGTCTTCTTGAACTTCATCCCTCAGCCTCAGCCCACATATCCAGCCTGTCCAGGTCCCTCTTTAGGGCCTTTCTACCATCAGACATATTGACATTTCCCCCCAGCTTGATGCCATCTGCAATCTTACTGAAAGTGCACTCAATTCTCCCATCTCGATCATCAATAAGGATGAAAAAATAAGGAAAAATCAGACACTTTTTGTATTTTTAGCAATATTTAGTAGAAAGCCACCAAGGTGCCAAGATCTCTTCTGGGACATGAAGACGACAACAGGCAAAGAACAACACATTGTGTTGGCTTCTGAATGACTGCTAACTGATAGCTATGGCCATCAGACTGAAACATACAAGAAAATGATGAAAAGAATGTATGACTTATCCATACATACAAAGAGCCTTCCAAATAGGTAGCTGCATTTACAGGAACTTAAACAGCAGACCAAAAGACAGCAGATTTCTTCAGAAGTAGCAAAGAAATAGATTAAATGTACTAAGCCCAGAACTGAAACCTAGAAGTCTATTTAAAGGCACTGTAAGGGGTATTGAGAAACTGAAGATTTTTCCACTGAACATACAAAAAAAGGTACTCCCAAAGCTATAATGGTTACTGACTATTTTGAGATTTATTTTGGACTAAAAAAGAACAATATATTGAAAGGAAAAGACAGAACACATTTAAATGCCAGTTTTGTTTTGTGTAATTTTGCATTCAGAACTCTGTTCCTTTTGAGATCTGGAACCTAAATCAGCATTATTTTTTTGAATTAGATTAGGGCTTCATAAAATCGTCTTAATTAACCTTCTGGTCTGGCTTCTCCATGACACTGGCTTTGTGCTTTTATCCTTCTCCAGTCTCCTTCAATGTCTTCCCACTCCACCAGCAAATTTCTGACAAGTCTTAAAGGTTGAAGCATCAAAGCCATTTCAGTTTCGGGAAAACAGAGAGGACAGCAAGCAGCAGCACTGCTGCTGTGGGAAGAAGCTCAGCCCTGCAGGACTTGCTTGGCCCAGGAACATACTGCAGCTGCAGACAAGCCAGAGGATGCACAAGCAGCTGACGGCAGCATGCAGGAAGAAGCTGAGGGCACTGCAGAGCGAAAGAATAGAAAGGATGCAGGTCACAAGGAAGCAGCTGGGGAAATCTGTGGAATCCTTATGGTATTTGTGATGGGGGAATCCAGCAGACACAGCGAATCGACTGGAAACAAATCCGTTGCTCTTTGTGCTAGGAAGTCTGTAAGATCGGGTGATTTAATAACTTCTTACAAACCTATTTCATTTTCCTTTATTTTAGTTGCTAATACTATAAATTAATCAGCATGTACAAGAGACGCACTGAAATGCACAATTCTTTTTCCAGGAGCATCATTTCACTCTCTTCCAAGTTTGGACCTGGGCAATGTTCCCACTTCAAGGAAATGAAAAAATCTTCTAAGTATTCTCATTTAAAGCCAGAGATCTGCAGCCAACTTTAGCAGCTTGAAGTAGGGATGGCAACAAAACAATTTTCCTAAGGTGTTTATAGAACTCTGCTAACAAAAATTCAAGAAGAAACTGAGAAGTTTTGACTCTGGCTCTCATCATCGCAGCAGTGGTCATTGTGCTATACACCACCTTCCCTAACTCGTTATTTAGAGGGCACGAAGAAAGAAAAAATATTTGCCTGCTCTCATCAATTCAGTGGAAACTAAGAATTTTCCCTCCATCTGAAACTCTCCTACGCTTTTTTCTTCCTATAGTGAGCTCTGTCCCAGCATCCTCTGATCTGACCTGATGGACTTCCTCCATCTCAGAACTGTTTCTCTGGAAGCCAATCATCCGTACAAACCAGCAGGGAAAAAATAGAGTCGGAACAGTAGCCCTAGGAGGTTGTAAAATCAGCAGCTTCTACTTGCCAAATGCCAGAGCATAAAATGCTTTTCACTGCTAGTTTTTTTTGGAATGCTTTTTAGAACGTCAGAATGAGAACAAAATCTGGGATAATGGGCATGTGTTGCTATGTCAAATGCAAGTCTTGCACATCTGCTCAGCACAGATCCACAGCCTACATGAGGTAGAGTAAGGCCAAAGCCTGAAACGGTTAGGAAATCACAGGCACCTTTTCTCTGCAATGAAGAGATGAAACAGCAATCACAGGTGAGAGAACTGGTCTTCAACATCCATGCTTAGTTTCAGCAATGGGAATCACTGCCTTAGATAGAGAGAGAGAGAGCAAATCCTTTTCACTGCTCTGAGGCAACAGACTTGGGACACAGCCCACGATGGTTCTTTCCCAAGAAATTAGGAGACACCGTTGCTGCATGTGCCTCTGGGAAATTCTGCTCTGAAGGAGATGAACTTCTCACGTCTTCAGTTCTAGCACTTGCTAGGAAAGTGAATGAATAACTTTGTGACACTTATTTTTGGACAGCTCAGCAGAAGCCAGTGATAGGGCTGTACAGATTGATCCTTCCCTGACAGCAGCTATAAATGTTGCCTCTGGAATGCTCTCAATGCCTGCTAGAGCCATAAAGGAGAAAACGTGCTGGAGACCAGGGCACCCTCATTAACCAGAAGCACCATGTTTTCTGACGAGCACTCCTTTTCCCCATCTCCCAACCTAGTAAAAAACACATTCTCCAGGTAAAACTTGACTGTGGTCCTTCTTTTCATAAAGCAGAATCATGAAGTAACAACTATCTGCACCCAGCCCTACTCCAGAGCCTGCCTGTGTTTGTCTCAGGACATTCAAGGGGAATGCGGGCAGCAATCCCACGTTTTCAGCTGGCAGCAGCCAGGCAACATGCAGACAGCATACCCTGGGACAGCAGCGCACATGGACCTGCAAGGAGGAAGTTCCAGCTAAAACTTTCTGTAGGGGCAGCAGAAGGGCTCCATTTGCACAAAAACAGATGCTTCTACTAGTTAGCTTCAGAACAAAACTGCCTGCTATCCTTAGCCTCACAGACACACCCATAAAATTCATAGTCAAAGGTGAATGAAGCCCCAAGTTCTGCAGATTTTAACTGACATGAATGCTTGTGTTCCTGCCATCGAAAAATCTTTTGAAAGTATGCAGTAAGAATGCTGCTACAGGCCTGGTTTTAGTAACTAACTGGCAACAGCAACTATTCAGAAGCCTGAACAGGTTATTTCCCAGCTTGTTATTTTAATAGTAGTTCCAGGTCTGCAAGATGACACATACTGAGGTGTTAACTGCATTAGATTTTGATGCCACTGATGTTATCATACATTAATCTACGTCACCAACCCAGTATGAAAGCTGCAAACACTACCCCCAGTTTCAGTTATTTTAAAAATATAATCCAAAAGACCCATCTAACTCACATGTTTTGATAAAATAAGATCCCAGAAATTACAATGCCAGTTTACATTTCTGTTCTGACTTCCAGGATGCAGAAGCATCCCAGAGTGCTGGGAACTGCAAAAATAGTTTCTGAAAGCATTTTATTACTTCTCAACTCCCAAATGCAAAGATTACGTTGAAGAAAGATCAAGGAGGAAAGGGAAAGAAGGATTTGCTGAATTTCGTTTTCAAACTATTCTGTGCAAGTTTTACCTCAGCTGATTTATTTAGAAGATTTTCAGGTGATAGAGGTGGGTTTTTTTGTGTATGAGAAAGTCTGAACCACAGCGGTCTAAAATCATGATGGTATTTGGCAAGTTTATTTTTTATTAGAATTATTATAGAGACAAGCAGGTAACAAAATAAAAGTTCCTGCAAAAAAGGCAAGATTAAAGTCATTATACGGTTGGAGCCAGCAACATTCCATAGACTTATCTATAAAGCAGTCCCTTCTGGTGACCTAAATATTTGTTTTATGTAGTTATCCCCTGAAACAAGTTGTCTCAGTGCACTCTGATAACACAGCTGAGTCAACCTATTAGCTCTCAGATGGCAAAAATATGTCAGCTGGGATCAGCTGCCTGCCCTCACTCTCAAGCTCCTGCCACTTTGCTTTTACCTGTGCCCCAGAGCTTATCAGACTGCACAGTAATGTTGATTCAACTCATTAACACTGCAGAAAGCTAACCCAGCCAAAATGAAGTCTCTAGACAAAGTGAGGCTGAATCAGCATACTGAATAGTAAAGTGTGGGAGCCGATGTACCCAAGAGCAAAAGGAAGGCTGAGACTGCCACTATTGGCTTGGCTAACCATTAGAGAAACTCTGCCACTTTATCTTTACGGATCATTACTCTCTCCAGACTCCTGCTCCTGCATCTTTTCGTACCAGGGGAGATATGTGTTTATCTTTACTGTGCCATTACTTTTCCCCAACTTCTGGTTGGTCCTGCCTCCCCTCCCCACCCCCCCCCCCCGCCTTTTATATATATATGAATGTGTATATATATCTCAACGTGAGTGTTGCTGTAATATGATTCTGGAGAATAAGTAACGGGGAAAAAAACAACGAGAGGAAGTAAGTCTTTAGAAATACTTCTATTTTCAAAGAACTGAACATGTGAAATGACACAGCCAATGATTTTAACACTAGTTTGAGCTTACTGCCTTTAAATACACTTGAGCGAGTTACAAGCTTATTTTTTCAAGACTTGTTCATGACCTCTGTATCCTTTCGAACCTATTAAACCTAGCCTGTACTACTCAAGACCGTAAGCAAGATAAAATCTCAGCACCAGGCTTCAGAAAGAGCCCAGGGAGTACCCTGACTAAAAACCTGATGAAGTGACTCACAACAACATTGCTGCTCACCTTGAGCAACTTTCTGTGACTGCTGTATGCACACCTGGTTATTTTCTGTCCTCTGCCTAAACCTTCAGCTTCCCTAGCATTTCCACAATGCAGCTGAATGCCCAGTATTTAAAAAAAAAAAAAAAAAAAAAAAAAAAAAAAAAGGTCTTATTCACGTTGACAATTAATGAGTAAGGGACAAAAAATGTTAACAGAATTAATTAGCAGAATCTGAAACACTGCCATATATGTTATGTTAAACCTACCAAGAGAGTTTAAAGCCAAACATCACCCCGCATTTCCTCTCCCACTAAAAACACTTCACTGAAAGCCAAGCAAACAAGCTACAAAATTATTTGGGTCTAAATCACAACATACCAGAAGCAGGATAATAGCTTATATTCTTTATATAGCCCTTCTTTATAGTTAAGTCATCAAATACTTTTTAGTTTTATCTCTCTCTTGTACCTACTTTTAAATTGAACAGCAAAACTACCTGGAAAACTTGAAAATGTTTTTTTTTTGAATCAGATTTCATCCCAGACTAAAGACGAACAAGCATCATTTTAATTATATAATTGACATCAAAATCTCAAGAAGTGTAGAAATTGCAACAGCCCCCCAAAAGATGTGTACTTTGCTAAGTGGTGTCTGCCCATTTACAACAAAATTCTGCCTCTTGCAATCCTTTACTCTTAACTACAGAATAAAAACCCATGCAGCTGGTACAGACTTCAACAAATACATACACATACCTATACTGGAGGTATAATCGGTGGCTCCAAAGATCAACTCTGGTGCCCTGTAGTACCGAGAGCAGATGTATGAAACGTTAGGTTCTCCACGAACCAGCTGTTTTGCACTGAAATGGAAACAAATCAATAATATTTTAGAAACAAAAAGCTTCAGTGTATTTTAATGCAGACCAGTATTAAACCTTAGCACTCCTCACCACCCCCGAGTCCTAAACGCTAAATTACTGTGTTCCAAGCTGACACAAGGCACAGACTTGATTTATTGTGAAATCAGCCCACCAGGCAGCTACTTTACAGTAGACACAGCAAAGGAAATGCTGACTAGAATTTGGAGGATAAACAGAGTCAGGATTTTGGTTGGCAGTTGTCTGGAAAGTTTGATGTGTTGAAAAGCTTGCGTACAAAGTCGAAGATGACAGTATACAGCTCAGCCAGATGTAGCCACCTTTCAAGGTTCAAAACCCCTGGGTACTCACCAGAACAGAGTACTTCCTATTACTACTCTTATTTTCTTAAGCTTGCATAATATTCTGGCTTTTTGCTGTTTAAGGGAGTGTGTCATGAGGCTAAGTGGGCACGAAGACAAAGGTAAAAACAAGTTTGCTGGTGCAGGCACATGTTATTAGTCTGAGATAAACATGAAGGCTTCATATAGAAGTGAACACAGTGAATTTAGTTTTAGGTACTTTGTCTAATGCACATTCTTCAAATACAAAAATCACACCTGTATCTTTATTCACCTTTGCAGTTGCTAGATTTACACCGCCACAAAGCATCTAACATGCAGTACTGCCACAACCATAACAGCGAGTTTCTTTAGAAACACAACAGCACGTTACTTCTGGAACATGAGTCTATGTTATATTTCTTTCTTAATTAATACCAAGCTTTTGATAGCAAGGATGTGGAAATCAACCTGCTCTTTTGGAAGCACAATACATTCCACTAAGTGGCAACAAATCCCAGCCAAATCCAACACTGAGCCTCTGAGAGAAGGAAGAGTTCCCAACACCCAATTAGATGGTTTTAAAAAGTCTCAGTTTTGCCTACAGCTTTCTGATACAGAAACTACAATTAACAATTCAGATTTCTAACAGCTAGAGGTACAACCTGTTTATGCACTGTTATTTCAAGTTTAAGTGTGATTCCTATTTTGCTCCATTGTTTGTGATGTAGAACTAGGAAGGAGATTCCCAAACCATGAGGCGTGACGATGCACTGCTTGAGTAATCACCATCTGACATTCCCACTCACTACAGGCAAGCAAATTTAGCAACAGCAATTTCAGTGACCTCTCACATGTATGACCTGGCTATTTTAGTCTGCAAAGTTACAGCACAATCTGAAGACTGAACTTCAGGAACAAATCAGTTTCCTTTCTCAGCGTGGATATCTAGAACTTCTGTGTCAGTTTTACTTTCTAGATCAGGGCTGGACTCACTTGTTCAACTGAATCACTTGAACAGAACTGGAAAAAATATGCCACTGGAAACTAGGATACAGGTGTCCACTATCTGCAATCAGAATTGCTGCTGCTGAACTTGATCCTCTACAGTATTTGAAATATTAGATGAATCAGCAGACCAACATAAATAGACTAATAAGGTAGCATTAGCCTTTTCAGGTTACTATGTCACTCTGCCTATCCTTTCTTCCACACGCTTTACCCTACTGTTCAGCATTATTTCTCCATGGCACAGTATTTTCCCTATCAATGGCTTATTTACTTTTTTATTATTATTATTTAATCTGCACAAATAACAGGCTTGAATTTTGTTTCCTATTTGACACCCTTCACCAGTTCCTTCTCTTTTTTTCTTATGAGCTCATTTTAAAAAGAAAACACTCTGATGTTAATTTCTCCATCTAAAAACTACAAGCAATAAACTTCAGAGGAACACAAGAGTTCCTCTGCAAAATTTCACCAGATTTGTTTTGAAATAAATCTGACTCCCCAGGCTTCAGGCCATAAACAAGCTTACCTTCCGAAGTCGCAGAGTTTAAGGACAGCTGTATCAGGGTCCAGCAAGAGGTTTTGTGGTTTTATATCCCGGTGGCAGATCCCAAAGGAATGGATATAGGCTAAACTCCGGAACAGCTGATACATGTACAACTAGAACACAGAAATATAGGGTAAGGTATGCTTTCCCAGCCAAAACAAGCTAAACAACTCAATTAACATGTAACTCTATTAGAGTAAAAAACAGAACCAGTCAAAATAAAGAAAAAAACTAAAAAGGCCCTAATGAATTTAGGTCAGTCCTGTGGAGACAGGGAAAGCCCAGGAACTGGCACATCTTCCTCTTTGTCACATAAGTTCACAATGTCCACATGAGGTTCAGATTGCCCTTTTGAAAATGAGCACAATTCCAAAGAAATAATTGTGCCAGCTTTCCAATATATATAAATAACCACAGAGCAAACAATGATGGTAGTCACAGAAAACATATAGAAAATAAAAGTCTGCATTTACTTTATAAATCAGCTTCTTCACAGAAATGAGGTATTCCAGGTTAGTAAAAAAGAAAAACCCTTTAGCAAAGGAAGTTATTAATAGGATATGAAATGCTGTCCAAGGAATATGGTAGTGTTTCAGCCTGACACCTGAACAAATCTCCTGGCTTGTTCTAGTCAAGGGGCAGACTCTTTCTAATTTCAAACCTCCAGGCAAAAAGAGAGGCCAACTGAAGACAATTTTGTATGAGGCAAGGCAAACAAGTCTGCTAACAGCGAGTTTGCTGTGTTCCCCCTTCCAAGGCTGGCCAACTTTTAAGCAATAAAGAACACAGCAAGCTGAGAACCTGCCATGGCGAAATGACGGGGTAAGGCAAGGCTGTCCACATATTTGGCTGCAAGGAATAAGGAGCTGCTGGACACAATTAGAGCTGTATAGCACAGACAGTCATTAAGACATGGGGAAAACCAAGGCTTAACAGGCAGACAGGTTATTTCATAGCTTTCTTGTGTCCCTCAGGTTTTCCAAAATCATTCCAATGATGTGTAACGAGCCTATAGGCTGGAAATTGCTCTAGTGTTGCACCTTCCCATTTTCATGGGCTCATTCTCCCTGCATCAGCTTTAGTGGTCTGTAAAACCAGGTGCAATCGCTAGACGTTGGTATCAACTCATGTTTGCTTCACTTTCAACATTATCTTTGTATTTACATTCCCCCCACTGCCTTTTTTTTTTCTTTTTTTTTTTTTTTCTTTTTGTTTTTGGCAGGGAAGATACAAGCAGACACAAAGAAAAGAATCGTCTGACTACCGGCTCTATGTTTTCAGTTGCCACATTTGTTTTTTCAAAACCAGATACCTGCACAAAGAAAAGTAAACAAACAAACATTTTCTGAATTGTCTGTTCTGGACATGGCAGGTACTTATTGTGCAAGTGTATTGCAAAATAATTTGGAAGATTGCTCTGAGTTGGCGAGTCAAGTCAATGCATGCAGTGTTCATGAAGTATGCCCTCCATCTCAATACAACAAATCCAGAACTTCCACAAATGTATTACAGAATGTTAGAGGCTGCTAATAAAAACTAACAAAAAGATTATTAGGAAATATTCTTGTAGTTGTATGAGCAGTTTCTTCGTTACCTAGGAAAGAGGAGCTCTCTGCCTTCCTACATATCAATCAAAAGTGAACAAATGGGTACGATCTGATTGCCAAGCTATCTTCCACTTGCAAAAGTTCTAATGCCATCAAAGTCTCTTTTAAAACATAAGGCTGAAATAGGCTTGCCTTGTCAGAAAAACAAGGTAAGAACAGACTTCTTGGCTACATGGAAAGGGAAGTGCCAAATATCAAGGAAGATGAAATGGGTGAAGGAGAATTCTCTCTCACAGGATACTTACAGACCATTTTTTCAAAGTTGTCATAATTGACAGCAATTAAAACAAAAATAAATGGATAATTTATCAAAAGCTAGGCTAACAAGTTTTGTGGCACTTATAACCTGAGGACATATTGTTCCACCAACAGGCCAAGCACAGGAATTACCTTGCAGTAGAAATTCTTACTGCTGAATGTTAATATCCTGTGCTTTCTTAAAAACAGGGAACAGTGCTGGCTATTGCCAAGACACTTAATTTACAGTTTTGGTATACTGGGTAATCATACACTTTGTTATTAGAATAATTACTTTTTGCAACATTCATTTTTTCAATCAAATTAAAAGGTACTCTTCAGCCCACCCTAATGTTAAGCATTAGGCATTTAAAGATGAGCCTTTAGAAATCAATATAAATCAGAAACTTTTTGCTCATTTCAATTTTATGTTATCTGTGTGTAATGTTAACAAGTTAAACTCAAGTTAACAACACTGGACTCAGTGATCTCTTCCAATACTCTGATTCCACGACCATTCATTAGCATGCAAATTGTGGTCACCACAATAAACGAAATAGAATTATGAGACCCAGATGGGTCCCATACTAGACAAAAAATGAAGCTTTATTCATCTTTAACTACTGTACAAAGGACAATAAAAGATAAAGACAGCTAAATTGAGGTTTTGAGGCTAAAATGTGCATAAAAACATCTCCCACTCTTCAACGCAAGTGGTAAAAGCAGTGAGCTCCATATATAGGGAAGGGGACAAAAGCACACCTTTCATTCCTTTATCAGAGGCACAAGAGCTCTTACCTAGTTACCAGGCAAAGGAAGAAGATAACACATAAGAGAATAGCATTCTTCCTGACATTCTCTTTAAATTCTTGACCTTTGTACTACTTTGTCATCATCATCTCTGAAAGCTGAAGCTGGGAATCTACCTGGTCAGACTCTAAGCTATATGAAAACAAAACACCCCACACTTCCCAGACCTCCCCTTAACCGTTCTGACATTTCTGTAAAGTGAGAAATCAGGTGCTGAAAGAAAGTTAACCCTCCTGCCTCTACTCTTCCTTCACTCTAACAAATACATCTTCTGATCTTTTTTGTTTCTTGCCTCAAGACACACATACTTCTAAAAACTTCAGAAAACTAATTATGTGAGAAAACAGGTATTCAGAGAGTTCATTCCTATAATATACCTCTTCATCTAACCACAGTTATTAGTTACCTACCTTGACATAAATCATAGGGAGTGTTTGTTTGGCCCGACTATAATGTCTGGCAACTCTGTATACTGTTTCAGGAACATAGTCCAGCACCAAGTTGAGGTACACTTCATCTTTCTGAAAGAGAATAGAAGAAAAAATTAAATCAATAATTATCTTGAAGCATGAAGAACAATAAAGGCATTCAAAAAAACCTGACAGGTTGAGAAACATCTTTAGTAAGTGTGCCAGCAAATTGTCTTCCCTTTCGGCTTAGCACCGTACTCTAATATCTAAGTCAAACTTATGTTTAAGGTCACACTACTCTATATGGCCTCAACCGTAATGTATCTTCTAATTATAAATAAGGACAATGCTGTCCATTCATTATTATTTTCATTATGGGACACCACCTTGAAATATTAGTCTCTTTCCCTGGGGAAACTCAAGGGCAAACTTAGAATTCCCAAACTCATACCATACAAATACATATTTAAAAAGTTTTAAAACGCCATATATTTTGGAAATGTTGCTTTAATCTTAGTGAATTCCTAACAATTAAGAGATTAGTAATTATAACTGATTACTGCTATCCATTCATAGACAGCGAGCCAGCGTTAATATTCATGGCCATTTTGTTAAATAAGCATTTTAACGCCCCAGTTTTGTCCAATTTAAGCCTACAAACTAATTCCAGTAAAACAGAACAAAATAAAAATGATTCTTGAGTCTGCATTTCTAACATCTGGAATTAAGTTAGAGGTTTGAGTGAATGTAATACTGAGAAACAACAAAAGTAGCTTTATAATAAGGTACTTTGTCACAGAGTTTGTTAGCAAAGGAAAGAAGGAACAAAGGAGAATTAAATGACATAGTACTGTAATCACATAGTGTCTAATTGGGGATGGGATTATTTCAGTGGTAAAACAGGTCTTAAAAAGACTTCTGATATTTTAATGCAGTCTTCTGTGCGAAGCATCAGGGCTGCAAATACATTTAATTATACACCCCCCCCCATTAATTATATCAACCTAAAAGACTACATTTGAAAGCCAGTTGAATTAAGCAGAGGTATACTTCTGTGCTTGCAGTGCTTTTCTACAGGAAAAGGTGAGATGGAGAGACTCTACATGGATGATGCTACAGTGCTCCTACGTATTCAGCTTGTCAGTAGGCCCACTGCCTATTGATCTTAACACTGCTCAATTTCAAAACAAACCTCATTCAGCTTCAATTTAATAACTACTGTTACCTAATGACTTAGAGCACAGCGTGGTGTGCACTCTCACCATGTTCTGTCTGAGCAAGTAGCCGGGATCTTGCTGGGGACGTAAACATTTTGTGGTAACACCTCAAATACCTGATGTGCAAAGTCTATGGTCATCGTTAGTGGACAATAAACACTGGTACTTTCACATCTCAGTAGCTCTCACCAATGGCTCCTAACAGGCCAAGTCACCATGCAAGGCCCTGCTCACAACACTCTTCCCTACAAAAAGATATTCTCCTTTAAGTACTGTTGCTTAAACAACAGCAGTAACAGCACCCGTGCTATGCGAGTGCTGATGACCCACTGGCTTGCGTCTGCTCTTATTGGAATTGTGCAACATAGAGAAGGAAAAGGAGCACCAGAAAACCTGCCTGTCCTGGGGCCTCCCACCCCTGTCCTGAGAACTGGGTCAAAGCATCATGGAACCTGGGGAACAAGCCAGAACATGGACACCGAGGGACGAACACCAAAGGCAACACCAAATGGCTCTAGAACTCCACAGGTGTGCAATCACATGAAAAACTCGTCCTACTTGTACTTCAGCACTTTCCCTTCTGCAGCAAATGTTTTTTTGTCCTTCACTTCCAGTTGACACAAATCCAACACAACATCTATTTGGGACAGAATTTTCATGGTATTATTAGTAATACAACATATTCTCCAAAAAATTTACGTTAACGTATGCATCGTAGGCCAAGCTGTATATACCAAAAGAGAAAACAGTCTCTTGAAAATGAGGATACGCTTGATTCAGTGTAGATACAACTTGATGAATGCATAGACTGCTCAACCTCTTAGAGAGCAGCAGTCATATGTGTAACAAGTCACTGCACCAAACTCTCTGCCACTGAGGTTGATTCAGCAGGTTCATGTTCCATGTATCAAAAAGACCTTCATGACAGATTTGACAGAAAAAAAAATGATTAACAATGGAATTGTAGTGATTTCATCATCCTCTCACAGCACAAGCAAAAGGAGGTATATACAAATAACACATTACCACTAAAACCTTCACAGAACTGAGTTGTACGAATTAAACAACTCTGTTTAGTTCCTACCATCTGTTTTACTTTTCTCTCCTCCATTTTGATTTCTTACTTTGCAATCTGTTGGAAAGAGGACTACTTCAGTGGCACGATGTGACACAGGCACAAAAAGATTAAAGCACTTCTATGGCAGATGGAGATCTGCCACCCACCCAATCAAATCCCTAAGAGTTTTGATGTTACCCACAGTATTTGAAGAAACTACATGGGGTTTGAATGCTGCTGTTTCTGTGTATGTAACATGTTAAAATCTACACAGGATAGAACAGGAATATCTCTTCCCCCTGCCAGCAAATATGTTACCTAGATCTACACGTCTGATGCACCCAAAACTTTAATATGCAACTATAAAGGCAAGCCTTACAGTGTTAGCTATGTAAGAAGCAACATACTTCACTCCTACCACAAGCAACTGACACTTCAGAAGTGCCCTAAATAGCTATGTTCATGAATTAAAGATGATTTGAGTGTTCTGACCTACCTCCTCCTGATGTTACCTAGTACAAATCTGATAAACACTTAAGAGAACAGGTTTCAAGAACCCTTCTCTGCGAGCATGATCGGGACAAAAATAACAACCAAATTATCTGGATTTTCTGAACAAGGTTCAGTGTGAGCTAGAAAGCAGTCATGGCCTGACAAGCTCTGAGGATGATGTAAGCTGGTGTGCCTACCTCATGCATTCCTCCTAAACACATATTTTTCCAGTGACCCAGATATAGTACAACAGGAAACAGGGCTAGCGCAAAGAGCTCACCAAATGAGGGCAACTGTTTGAGGATCAAGAGAATGGATCAAGGCTTATCTTTCCATTACAGGCCTTTTTCAGACCTCACCACATATTCTGCACGTGACTTGTTTCCACACAACTGTTCCAAAATTGCTGGGCTGGGAATCAGCCAAAGTAACCAACCCACCAGGAGCCTATCTCACATACCTACAGAGACCAGAATGGTTTGGAGGAGGCTGCATCATAGAAATCATTTGCAGAAAACAAACATAAGATTATGGTTTTTTTTTTCCTACAGAAGTTGGGATTGAAGAGATTATTAGCCTTCCTCAACAGGTCAAGTGTTCAGCAACACTTTCCTATGCCTGCTGCTCAGGTTGTAATGTTCTATATATACTCTTTTAAAAAAGGGTGCACAGAGGAGCTGGATCCTGAAATACAGGATCAGTGCATTCCATTAGGATTTTGACTTCAGCATTGCAATCGTTTACGGTCAATTGTGTCAAATGTTAGAAGTTGTTTTTTGTCACTTGGCAGATAAATTCTCAGCTGACACATGCTGCTTCTGAACACTTAAAAGATTCAGAGCAAAATAACCATGGCCTTGTCACTGAACCAGTCCGTATCTCTCAAGAACCAATAACTGAAGCACCATTTCACTCCAGTTGGAAACACTTCACATAAATAAACACCAATATAAACTGTGCCACAGTGAGCAGCATGAGTAGGATGCAGAAGCCAAAATGTTGTTGAATCTTTTGTGTCAGAAATCAGAAATCAAACAGGCTGCAATACAACTTCTCCAGCACATGAATGTTAAACACCGCATGGCTGAAGACCTGGTGAAAGTAAAAACTCTGTTTTACAAACACATAAAAGGCTTCTGGAAGTCACAAATTCCACTTTTAAAACTCTTCTGTCCTTCAAGCTACAAAAGCAAAACTGTTTAAGGCTATCCTGCTGGCAATTCACTATGTTCAGGATAAACCATTAGCTACTGAATTAAAAGGTTTGCTCTTCTGGATTGTTCCTGGGAGGGAGAGAATATTTCTCCTCTGCGAATCTCCCTTCTCAACAAACTTAAACTAACTCTAGGTGCTTTCTGGAATATTTTTTCCCCCCACTTATTGCCCAGACTGTATTTGGAACGTGTGCATGAAAAACTGCAATTGACACATCTCAGTCCCAGTGCAAGTAAGTCCCTTATTCACCACCAATGCGATGACAGAAACACATCTTAAGAAACTAGTGGTTTCTTAAATGCCAAAGGACAGGCTGAAGGCAAGAAGAGAACATCACAGGGCATATTCTGAAGAATGCATCAATATCTGGGACGTCATCAGAAGTTCCCATGAATTGGCAGTCCTCCCTTGATTCTACAGAGAATGCCTGGGTGTAACATAATACAATAAAAAGTACTGAATCTATCTACTCTGTCTTCCACGGTGACTGAACTTACTGGTCAGTGTCCGGAAAGAGCAATGAACATGCTCATTTCAGTCTCCATCAGCCAGGTTAGCAACAGTGAGGTGGCAATTGTGGCGTTTCCAGGTGTTTTTTCCTCCCCTCCCTTATTTTCCTCTTTCTTTCAAATCCCAACTCATTTCTCTGAGATAGTTTTCAGATGATCAACTGTATGAGCACCGCTGAGTAGAAATGAACAACACAAGAGTTTCTTAAACTAACTCTGCATTCAGAAATCCTAAACACAGAACTACACTCTGAAGGACTGATTTACCTTTTCTTACAGCTACAACCAGCACATACTTCACCCGCTCTTTCCAAGCAGAGTAAGAGACACACCTTTCTCCTCTTATCTTAAATGCTGCCATACTACTTTAAAGATACAAAGCCTTTGGAGCAGCTTTCATAGACAAAGCAAGAAATTTCAGGCTTCCTACTCTAACTACTTGGTAGCCATGACATTCTGGAAAAATCCTTAAATGCAAAAAATGCTGGAATTGCCCTTTTTTAGATGAAGGAATGGTGACATCCAGTGGCCACATGAGCATGTCTGTACTTGCAGTTTGCAACCACATTTCAGAAATACACCTCTATTTTTATTAGCATCACAATTACTAGGTATTATTCC